CCATGGATACAAGTGAATTAGTGACTTACAGGCGGGCCATGGATACAAGTGAATTAGTGACTTACAGGCGGGCCATGGATACAAGTGAATTAGTGACTTACAGGCGGGCCATGGATACAAGTGAATTAGTGACTTACAGGCGGGCCATGGATACAAGTGAATTAGTGACTTACAGGCGGGCCATGGATACAAGTGAATTAGTGACTTACAGGCGGGCCATGGATACAAGTGAATTAGTGACTTACAGGCGGGCCATGGATACAAGTGAATTAGTGACTTACAGGTGGGCCATGGATACATGTGGGTTTGTGACTTACAGGCGGGCCATGGATACAAGTGAATTAGTGACTTACAGGCGGGCCATGGATACAAGTGAATTATTGATTTACAGAAGGGCCATGGATACAAGTAAATTAGTGACTTACAGGCGGGCCATGGATAAAAGTGAATTAGTGACTTACAGGCGGGGCATGGATACAAGTGGATTAGTGACTTACAGGTGGGCCATGGATACAGGTGAATTAGTGACTTACAGGCGGACCATGGATACAAGTGAGTTAGTGACTTACAGGCAGGCCATGGATACAAGTGAATTAGTGACTTACAGGCGGGCCATGGATACATGTGGGTTTGTGTGGTTGTCAACATAGTCACTCATGAGTTCACTCTTCACCATTTCCACCAGTGTTTCATCTGTACGTCTGTCTTCTGCAAACTTGATAACTTCTAGCCACCACTCCAGCCCATCAGACAGCTGAAAAGATCAACACAATTGTTATTTCATCATGTAAAATGTGATTTTCTGTATCTGGAAAACCTTGCACGCTGTCAGAATACATGCCTGCAGGTATTTTGGAGACCAATCTGCAAGTTTTACATTAAAGAGAATTTTGGTCATGTAAAAGGATTTTTTTATCTGTCAAATATTTCAGTGTAAAACTCTTCTTTTTACTGTACTAAATTATTAATTAAATCAATACCTAATCAAGAAATAAAGGATTTTTTTGTATAATTAATGTTTAAATTAAGACTTACAACAGTTACTGTTAGAGTTTAATTTGGCAGACATTAAACTTTGAGCTCTGGATTTAAAAAGCTTGTAAGGATAGCATCTTGTAACACATATCTAACAAGAAAAACAATGTTCCGCAGTTTGATACATATGATGTAACATTTAAATGTGCAAACATATTTCCTACTAAGATTTTTTGTAGACATTTATTTACATATACCAGCAGCGGTTGAATTATTACATCATTTCTTAGAGGGCATAAGACATTCATTACATATTACAATACAATATTTAAAACAGAAGGTAACAAGGTGCCCAAGGTTAGAAGGTCCTTGTCTTGGTTATACCAGTCCAGCAGAAGTGTCAGATCAACTGTGACAATATGCATTACAGAAACATTGCTGAAAAGGGGTAATAAACAGAAGGTATGCTAGATGTGACATAACAATAAATGTACTGTGGAAAGTAAAAGATTCCTGAACAAACAGAAGTCAGTGAACTGTAACTGTAAGTCACTCTAACCTATAGGAGTCGATGAACCATGACTCTATCCAAGTCACTCTGGCCTACAGGAGTCAGTGAACTGTAACTCTATCTATATGTCACTCTGACTTACAGGAGTCAGTGAACTGTGTAACTGTAAGTCACTCTAACCTAAAGGAGTCATGTGAACTGTAACTCTATCTAAATGTCATTCTGACCTACCGGAGTCAGTGAACCATGACTCTATCTAAGTCACTATGACCTACAGGAGTCATGTGAACTGTAACTCTATCTAAATGTCATTCTGACCTACAGGAGTCAGTGAACCCTGACTCTATCTAAGTCATTCTGACCTACAGGAGTCAGTGAATTGTGTAACTGTAAGTCACTCTAACCTAAAGGTGTCATGTGAACTGTAACTCTATCTATATGTCATTCTGACCTACAGGAGTCAGTGAACCATGACTCTATCTAAGTCGCTCTGACTTACAGGAGTCAGTGAACCGTAACTCTATCTAAATGTCATTCTGACCGACAGGAGGCAGTGAACCATGACTCTATCTAAGTCACTCTAACCTACAGGAGTCAGTGAATCATGACTCTATCTAAGTCACTCTGACCTTCAGGAGTCAGTGAACCCTGACTCTATCTAAGTCACTCTGACCTACAGGAGTCAGTGAACAGTGACTCTATCTAAGTCACTCTGACCTACAGGAGTCAGTGAACCATGACTCTATCTAAGTCACTCTGACATACGGAGTCAGTGAACAATGACTCTATCTAAGTCACTCTGACCTACAGGGGTCAGTTAACAGTGACTCTATCTATGTAAATCTGACCTACGGGGGTCAGCGAACAGTGACTCTATCCAAGTAACTCTGACCAACATGAGTCAGTGAACAATTACCCTATCTAAGTCACTCTGACCTAAATGAGTCATGTGAACTGTAACTCCATCTGTATGTCATTCTGACCTACAGGAGTCAGTGAACCCCGACTCTATCTAAGTCACTCTGACCTACAGGAGTCAGTTTACTGTAACTGTAAGTCACTCTAACCTAAAGGAGTCATGTGAACTGTAACTCCATCTATATGTCATTCTGACCTACAGGAGTCAGTGAACCCCGACTCTATCTAAGTCACTCTGACCTACAGGAGTCGTTGAATCGTGACTCTATCTAAGTCATTCTGACCTACAGGAGTCAGTGAACCATGACTCTATCTAAGTCACTCTAACCTACAGGACTCAGAGAATCATGACTCTATCTAAGTCACTCTGACCTACAGGAGTCAGTGAACCATGACTCTATCTAAGTCACTCTGACATACAGGAGTCAGTGAACTGTAACTGTAAGTCTCTCTAACCTAAAGGAGTCATGTGAACTGTAACTCCATCTATATGTCGTTCTGACCTACAGGAGTCAGTGAACCCTGACTCTATCTAAGTCACTCTGACCTACAGGAGTCAGTGAACTGTAACTGTAAGTCACTCTAACCTAAAGGAGTCATGTGAACTGTAACTCCATCTAAATGTCATTCTGACCTACAGGAGTCAGTGAACCATGACTCTATTTAAGTCACTCTGACCTACAGGAGTCAGTGAATCGTGACTCTATCTAAGTTATTCTGACCTACAGGAGTCAGTGAATCATGACTCTATCTAAGTCACTCTGACCTACAGGAGTCAGTGAACCGTGAGTCTATCTAAGTCACTCTGACCTACAGGAGTCAGTGAACCGTGAGTCTATCTATGTCCCTCTGACCTACAGGAGTCAGTGAATCATGACTCTATCTAAGTCGCTCTGACCTACAGGAGTCAGTGAACCGTGAGTCTATCTATGTCACTCTGACCTACAGGAGTCAGTGAACAATGACTCTATCTAAGTCACTCTAACCTAAAGGAGTCATGTGAACTGTAACTCTATCTATATCTCATTCTGACCTACAGGAGTCAGTGAACCATGACTCTATCTAAGTCAATCTGACCTACAGGAGTCAAGTGAATCATGACTCTATCTAAGTCACTCTGACCTACAGGAGTCAGTGAACTGTAACTGTAAGTCACTCTAACCTAAAGGAGTCATGTGAACTGTAACTCTATCTATAGGTCATTCTGACCTACAGGAGTCAGTGAACCATGACTTTATCTAAGGCACTCTGACCTACAGGAGTCAGTGAACTGTGACTCTATCTATGTCACTCTGACCTACAGGACTATCTAAGTCACTCTAACCTACAGGAGTCAGTGAATCATGACTCTAAGTCACTCTGACCTACAGGAGTCAGTGAATAACCATGACTCTATCTAAGTCACTCTGACCTACAGGAGTCATGTGCATCATGACTCTATCTAAGTCACTCTGACCTACAGAAGTCAGTGAGCCCTGAGTCTAGCTATGTCTCTCTGACTTACAGGAGTCAGTGAACCGTGACTCTATCTGTGTCGCTCTGACCTACAGGAGTCAGTGAATCGTGACTCTAAGTCATTCTGACCTACAGGGGTCAGTGACCCATGACTCTATCTAAGTCACTCTGACCTACAGGAGTCATGTGAATCATGACTATATCTAAGTCACTCTGACCTACAGGAGTCAGTGAACCATGACTTTATCTAAGACACTCTGACCTACAGGAGTCAGTGAACCATGACTTTATCTAAGACACTCTGACCTACAGGAGTCAGTGAACCATGACTTTATCTAAGGCACTCTGACCTACAGGAGTCAGTGAACTGTGACTCTATCTATGTCACTCTGACCTACAGGAGTCAGTGAACCGTGAGTCTATCTATGTCACTCTGACCTACAGGAGTCAGTGAACCGTGACTCTATATATGTCACTATGACCTACATGAGTCAATGAACAATAACCCTATCTAAGTCCCTCTAACCTAAAGGAGTCATGTGAACTGTAACTCTATGTATATGTCATTCTGACCTACAGGAGTCAGTGAATCATGACTCTATCTAAGACACTCTGACCTACAGGAGTCAGTGAACTGTGACTCTATCTATGTCACTCTGACCTACAGCTTTATCTAAGTCACTCTAACCTACAGGAGTCAGTGAATCATGATTCTAAGTCACTCTGACCTACAGGAGTCAGTGAACCGTGACTCTATATATGTCACTATGACCTACATGAGTCAATGAACAATACCCCTATCTAAGTCACTCTACCCCAAAGGAGTCATGTGAACTGTAACTCTATCTATATCTCATTCTGACCTACAGGAGTCAGTGAACCATGACTTTATCTAAGACACTCTGACCTACAGGAGTCAGTGAACTGTGACTCTATCTATGTCACTCTGACTTACAGGAGTCAGTGAACCCTGACTCTAGCTATGTCACTATGACCTACATGAGTCAATGAACAATAACCCTATCTAAGTCACTCTAGCCTAAAGGAGTCATGTGAACTGTAACTCCATCTATATGTAATTCTGACCTACAGGAGTCAGTGAACCATGACTTTATCTAAGGCACTCTGACCTACAGGAGTCAGTGAACTGTGACTCTATCTATGTCACTCTGACCTACAGCTTTATCTAAGTCACTCTAACCTACAGGAGTCAGTGAATCATGACTCTATCTAAGACACTCTGACCTACAGGAGTCAGTGAACCATGACTTTATCTAAGACACTCTGACCTACAGGAGTCAGTGAACTGTGGCTCTATCTATGTCACTCTGACCTACAGGAGTCAGTGAACCGTGACTCTATATATGTCACTATGACCTACATGAGTCAATGAACAATAACCCTATCTAAGTCACTCTAGCCTAAAGGAGTCATGTGAACTGTAACTCCATCTATATGTAATTCTGACCTACAGGAGTCAGTGAACCATGATTCTATCTAAGTCAATCTGACCTACAGACTCTATCTAAGTCATTCTGACCTACAGGAGTCAGTGACCCATGACTCTCTCTAAGTCACTCTGACCTACAGGAGTCAGTGAACCATGACTTTATCTAAGTCACTCTAACCTACAGGAGTCAGTGAATCATGATTCTAAGTCACTCTGACCTACAGGAGTCAGTGAACCGTGACTCTATATATGTCACTATGACCTACATGAGTCAATGAACAATACCCCTATCTAAGTCACTCTACCCCAAAGGAGTCATGTGAACTGTAACTCTATCTATATCTCATTCTGACCTACAGGAGTCAGTGAACCATTACTCTATCTAAGTCACTCTAACCTACAGGAGTCAGTGAATCATGATTCTAAGTCACTCTGACCTACAGGAGTCAGTGAATCGTGACTCTAAGTCATTCTGACCTACAGGAGTCAGTGACCCATGACTCTATCTAAGTCACTCTAACCTAAAGGAGTCATGTGAACTGTAACTCTATCTATATGTCATTCTGACCTACAGGAGTCAGTGAATCATGACTCTATCTAAGACACTCTGACCTACAGGAGTCAGTGAACTGTGACTCTATCTATGTCACTCTGACCTACAGGAGTCAGTGAACCCTGACTCTAGCTATGTTTCTCTGACTTACATGAGTCAGTGAACCGTGACTCTATCTATGTCACTCTGACCTACAGGAGTCAGTGAACCGTGACTCTATCTAAGTCACTTTGACTTACAGGAGTCAGTGAACCCTGACTCTATCCAAGCCATTCTGACCTACAGGAGTCAGTGAATTGTAATGTACAAATAACTGAGTCATGATCTGCTGAGTAGAGGTCAGTGAGCTGTGACTGTTTTTACCTTACCTCAGCCCTGAACTGAGTCATGCTCTAATGATTAGACTCAGTGAGCTTTGACTGTTTTTACCTTACCTTAGTTTGAACTGGCTCAAGCTCTGCTGATTAGACTCAGTGAGTTGTAACTGTTTTCACCTTAGCTCAGCCCTAACTACGTCATGCTCTGCTGAGTAGGGGGCAGTAAGCTATGACTGTTTTCATCTCACCTCAGCCTTGAACTATGTCATGCTCTGCTGAGTAGACTCAGTGCGCTATGACTGTTTTAACCTTACCTCAGCCCTAAACTGTGTCATGCTCTGCTGAGTAGGGGTCAGTGAACTCTGACTAGATGTTACTTTTGCTTCAGCCTTTGACATATAATTCTCCCTCAGGTCGTCTGCCTGTAAAATACAACAAAAACATCATCTGGTTTTACTTTTAAGAGAAAACAATGTTTAAAGAGAATGTTATAAAAGAAGTGTTTGAATAAAAGAGTTGTAAAAATCAGTAATAATTTTTTATTAAAATGACTGTAAGAGTTTCCAGCAACTAATTTTATAATGGATGATAGAATTACCTTCAGACTTAAACTTTTATTATTTTACACCAATTATGATACAACTCACCCAGGTAATCATCACTTTGGTGTGAATGGAAGTGCAATCCTAATATGACAATCTTAGTGAAAAGGAAATGATAATCGGACCACCCTGTAAAGTCATTTCTGAATGTGTACACCTATAATCTTCCTCTTGAAGCTGTACGTACCTGTTGTTTCAGAAGACTGTCCCTGAGGGTAGGAGCCACACCATCTGGTTTGAGGGAAAGGATCTCATTGAGATTGTAGAGTGTATGTAATAACTGTAGCTTGTCTGTCCTCAGGTAATCTTTATGTTCCTCCACAGACCACAACACCTCGCGGTACATGTCTACTGCCTCTGTGTACTGTAATATAAATACAACACCTCGTGGTACATGTCTCCAGCCTCTGTATACTGTAATATAAATACAACACCTCGCGGTACATGTCTACTGTCTCTGTGTACTGTAATATATACACAACACCTCGCGGTACATGTCTACTGCCTCTGTATACTTTAATATATACACAACACCTCACGGTACGTGTCTACTGCCTCTGTATACTGTAATATAAATACAACACCTTGCGGTACATGTCTACTGTCTCTGTGTACTGTAATATATACACAACACCTCACGGTAC